TATTGGAAGGCAGGATGGTAATCTGGATCAACTGACTGCACTGATTAAGTTTTTCAGGTGGACTTTCCCACTTAACATATAAAAACTACTTTATTCCCACTGATCACAGCAAATATAGCTGCAAGGCAGAGAAAGGATAGAGTAGCTCCGCCAAACGCGCGTCAGACACACTTTTCCACCGTGCAGCAAGAGCAGCAAAGCTGCTTCAGCCGCGCGTCAGAACTAACTGGTACAAGCAGCAAAAATGAAGCAGCAGACGCGATTTTGCTGCTTCTGCTGCGTCCGGTGTGAACGCAGCATTACACTGTTTTTATAAAAAGGAGCGCTACCACATGTCATCCATCCCTGCTCCCATCAGATTCTACAATGCGACACTCCAACGGCAATAACTTGCATGATGCATGATGTGCAATTACTATTTAAAACCCATAGCAATAACATATATATATATATAAATATCCATCTATATAAATACCCATGTAAACACCCTGGATAATAACCTTGCTATAAAAGAAAATTTAAAAAGCTGTCATATGTGGATGCACTGTATATAGTGTATATATCCCATGCTCCCTTTCTTCCTTTGTCGCCTCTTTGACTATTTGAGTTGATGTAACGAGTAAATTTCTCCACTGTGAGATTAATAAAGTCAATCAATCAATGTCCGATGAAGACGTCAGACAGCAGTTTAAGAGAGACTATAAATAATATAGACATGTACGCAAAAAAATTAAACAAAAGCTGATGTTGGCCAAAAAAAAAAAAACTATGGGTTAATCTCTAATAAATATATACATATTTACACACATACTCATTCTGCCATCGTAGTGAGGACAATGCATTGATTCCCATCGATTTTCAGTCATTTTCAACCCTTTTTATGCCCCAACCCCCTAAAACTAACACTAACCATTACCAATGAATACCTCACACTAACCAAAACCAATTGTCACCTTAGCCTTAAACCAATAAGGCAAAATGTCCTCACTTTGCAAAGACTGCTCCTAAATTTGATGGTAAAATTTAAAAAATGTCCTCACTCTGAGGGCTAGACAGGAATACATTTACATACATATTTCCTCAAAACAACAATTGTTTAATTTGTAATTAGAATTCTATTTCTTCTATTATTTAATGTAACATTTAAGAATTTATTGGAATATTTAATGTTTAAATCATGTATACTTTTTTTTTTTTTTTTTTTTTGGACGTTGACATTCATTTCATCTATGATATATTTTAGTCCTCCGTAACTCAGGGATCAGATCACAATGATAGTGAAAACCATCATGCGAAGCCCCCCCACTCAGTGCCTCCTGACCCTTCCTGTCAAAACTCAAATATCTTCAGCTCATTTTGAAAAAGGCGTAGAAATGACTTAATAGATTGGCGATGATTTATCGGCGTTCTGACCTCCATCAGCCAGTCCAACAGGATGGCCCTCATGTTGGGCTGCAGGTGTGGATGTTTCTGCAGCATGTGGACGTCTCTGCTGTAGGTCCTGTCCTTCTCCAGCATGTTGTTCCACACCACATCCTTACTGGCCCAGCTGACAGAAAAACAAGCAGATGTTACATCTAAGAAACATTTCATTAAGAAAAAAGATTTTATAAAATTGGTTTCTTTCATATTTCATTGTTTCATATATTTTTTTTCTTCAAATTCCTGTTTTCCTCAGATTGAAGTCATTCTTTTCAAATAGTATTTTACAGATCGCATTCTTTGCTAAAGAAGCAAAGACATTTCTACTGGTCCGCTGGACGTGAGAAATGTGTTTATTGGTGGAGAGCAAGCGTTTGGATTGGGCTGGAAGCGAGGAGAACATCAAGAGAAACATTCGAAAACAGTGAAATTAAATCAGAAAAACTTAAATTTGAAAAACTAAATAAAAAATTTCAAAGTGTAAAATCTGTGAAAAAAAGTAGAAATTACTTTTTAAAACAGAATTTTTCAATCTAGAAATAAATTAGATTTTTGTCCAAAATCGGAGAAAAGTCGTCCTTAAATCTTTTTTGGGGCAAACAGGTCTTGAAGTTTCCTTTTTCTATTACATATTTTCTTCAAATTAACATTTCTAGAACTGGATTCTTATATCCCATTTACACTAACAGCAGGGCTCGGCACGGTTCATCTGTGGTTCAATTTTCTGATAACAGAGAGCGTCCATTTCTCCTATTTACAGTCAGATGACTCAGTTCACAGGTTTTCCGTCTGTTATTCTCAACCTATTAACAATCTATAGAGCCTGGTGCGACCTGGGATGATGCCCAGACTGAGAAGGATGCCTTCTTCGCCTGATGCTCCACAAACGATGAAATATCTCTAATACAAACAAACATGAGTCCCATTTCCAGTACCCCTCTGATACCGACCCGTGCAGAGTTCGGACCGGATTTGGATAAGTTAACCGTGCCAAGCTCGGTTCCTTACAAGCTATTAAGGTCTGGTTATCCTCTGGCAGCAGTGGGTCTCAGTGAGCTTGTTGCAGACATTTCTGATTTATGTCCAAATTTGAAGCATGGTCTGCGCTATGATATTCCACGCCACAATGCAAGAGGGACAATCGGGAACTAGCTGTGGGCCTAAATACGGCCGAGGAGGTGAGGAAATGGGGGCAAGTTTGTGCGACAACTGAGAGACATGAGGGTAAAAAACAGCGGGGATCCAGGTGGAAAAAGGGTCACCACGTTCTTGCGCACCTCGCTCTTCTAGCTGCTCCATCTTCACAAGTCGTTTTCCACAATGGCGGTCAGACAAACAAAACAAGCCGGCAAGGTACCAATCAGGAAATACACATAGCGTTTGCGTAAAAGGGGGCATATCTGCGTTAACTGCAACAAACACTCAGACGACTGGCGGGGTGTGTAAAACAGCCTTTACACACCCCGCCAGCACGATTCCTCACCTCCTAATGGCGATCTATGGTTCTACTGCTCTCTAGAGCAGAGGTCTTCAACAGGGGGTCCAGGGAGGTACTGCATGGGGGTCGAGAATGTTTTGGTCGATCACACTTTTCTTTACATTCCGCCCTACAATTTTTTCCACTAATTAAAAAGTATTCAAATCCACATAAACATGAATTCAACAGACTGTAGTAAACAGATAATTGGAGGCAGAAGATGTCTTTCAGTCATCAATGCTCACATTCAGCAACACACAGGAGCTCTTTTAAGCTGGCCACCATTTCATTCACAACACCTGTCCCATCAACCGGGAATCAGAAATACTTAATCCCAGGGAGAAATTACTTTTATTATATTACTCCATCTGTAATAGAGTGACTATAGGACCAGTTTGATAGAGCACAATTTTATACTATATATATTTAGGGGGTCCCCGCTCCATCTCGCCATCAGTTTGGGGGTCCTTGACCTGGAAAACGTTGGACACCCTGATTTAGAGGGAAACAAGCAAACCAACATGGCAGTGCCCGTAACATTCAGGAGGTTTGCTGAGAGTCAGGCGAAGAAGGCAGCCTTTGCTGAATGTGGATATGACAAACTTTAGTCTAATCAGGGCTTACAGCCGCAGTAAACAACAACAGGAGTTGATGTTTATCACACTGCTAAGCAGAATCATCACGGTAGGGAAGCTAGTATTTTTATGAATTCTGATTACGGAGAATGACTGTAAGGAGATGATGTGGTCTGCTCATGCATTCTTTGTTACAGAGCCAGAACTGAACCGTGCCGAGCCCTACTGATGAATTAGTACCATGTTAGCGCAGTTTGGTTCCATCTGGCGCGGTCCGGTTGTTTAGAGCTTCATTAACACTGTTATCTCAGTTACCGTGCTCTGACCGATCTCGATACGGTTTTATAAAGGGTAGTGTTAATGGGGTAGTAAGTTCCTGAATGTTATGAGCGCTGCCATTTTTGTTTGTTTGTCCCGCCTTGAGAGTTGAAGTATCATGGATCTCTGATGAGAGGTGAGGAACCATGCTGACTTGATTTGTAAATGGTCATAAGAACCGAGCTCGGCACGATTAACTGATCCAAGTTCGGTCAGAACTCGGCACAGATCAGTTTCAGATCGGTAGTTCCAAAAAAAGAAAGTTAAAAACAATCCACTGGACTTTGTTTCCAGGTTTGAAGACGTTTCGCTTCCGACGCAAGAAGCTTTTTAAATTCAAAATGTGCGAAGTAACATGGCGGCATGGCTGTCATTAGCCAACCCTGGGCCCATTAGGTGGGTACAGAGGAAAGACAGACGGGGGTTAAAGGTCACCCCTCGATGTCCTCAGAGCTATCGGCGGGTTAGGGGCTCTCACCATAGCGCAGGGAGCGGAGTGCAGTGAACAGGCGTTACAAAGATGTTGTGGAAGTCGTAGTGAAAGAGGCCGGCGCTGGTGAGCGAAGCCTGCTGGTCCTCCTCCTGCAGAGGGGTGGGGCTCGAGCTCCGAGGGCTTCCATAATCCAGACGGCAGCTCATCTGCAAGGAAGGTGGCACACAGTTTACCGTCAGGTCGATTACGTTAGGATCAGAGTATCTGATGGACTGAGGAAGTAGAACTATAGTGTCTGAGCTGGACCAGTTCTGATTTGGTGCAAGTGCAAAAAAAAAAAAGGACTGAAATAAACTATTATTTCACAAAGATAAAAGATTAAAAAATAAATCCCAGAATCCCCTGAGTCTAAAATATTCCCATTAATCTAGAAAAAAATCCAGATTTTAAACTAGAGCTGAAAGATGGTGTAATAGACCTTTAGTTTCCTGACCCTAAAGCTGCAGTCAGAGGCCAACTTCAGCGCCGTTTGTCTATCGTGGAAGAGCAGCCCAGGCATGCTATCCAATGCTAATGCTCCTTTTGAATATTTTTGTATTTGCGTAAATATTGCATATTCTAGAAACGAAAAAAAGCAATACACTTGAACAGCATTTCGAACTTTACTGTACGGACGGATGCTAACAGCTTGGAGTCAGGTTGGTCTATACATCATCTAAAATGGCAGCCAGAGGAGCAGATACAGCTGATATTTGCTAAAGTTAAGTTAAATGATGAAAACTGCCTCAGCGTTACTGACAGCTTGGTCGTTGCTATGGTAACAATTAAATTCAGTTTATTTCTATAGCGCTAATTCACAACATATCATCTAAAGACACTGAAAACTACAGTTCACTAGATCATACTAAGGAAAACCAGTTGATTGGATTGATTCATTGACTAGAATGCAAGCCCTCACACTAAGCATGCTTGTAGCGACAGTGGAGAGGAAAAACTCCCTTATAACAGGAAGAAACCTCCAGCAGAACCAGACTCGGTGTGAGCGGCCATCTGCCGAGGCCGACTGGGGTTCAAGGAGACGGAAGCAGAAAATAGAGAAGAGTTTTTTTTGTGCATCTAATTAGTTTTAAGTCTAAAGGTGAAAATAATGATTTCCCTGGTAGAAAAAAAAAGGGGTGGGGGGAGGGTGATTCGAGAATAACTTTGCCTTTTCTCAGATTTCTGTCTTTTCTTTTATTAGGAAAATATTTCCCATTTTCAGATGTAATTTATGTATTTATTTTAATTTCTCCACATCAGCTTCTCTTCACTTCTGGGGGCGGGCAAAGACATTTTTATTGGCCGATAGCTGGACGGCAACAAAACCATTTTATTGGCAAGAGTGAGCGTTTGGAAGAGAATTTGATCTGAGAAACAATTTGAAAACTGTGAAATTAACATTTAATTTGAAAAAGAATTTTGAAGAAAAAATAAAAATGTAGAAAAAAATCTGAGTAAAGTTCCTCTAAACCTTTGTTTGATTAAAAGATTTTTCAGATTTAAATTTCAGTTTACAGAAAATAATGTTGCCTTCAATAGTAATGGAACAAAATTCACTCCATAGATTTTCATTTAGCTGCACAGATTCTGCAGAAAAAAAGCCAACAAACCAGTTAAACCGAAAGAGAACCTGGTGGTTTGAAGCTGGTCCTAGAAAAAAAAAAAAACATCTGTGAACCAGGAGCGCATTTAGAGGCCTGAATAATCGAGCTCACCTCAGACTCGCGGTGCTTTTTCTTTGTCATCTCCTTTACGTCTTCATCCAAGTCGGGTAAAAACTACAAACCAGGGACAGAAATCATCAGTCAGATTCAAAAAACACGGTTCTACTCAGATATACATAACTTCAGGAGTACAAAACACAAAATTGGGGCATTTTTTTGATCATTTAAAATCAGCCATTTTATTTTAAACAGGAGATTAATATGTAGCCGTTTTCTGTGGTGTCAAAAGTACACACATTAGTTACTTAAGTAGAAGCATAGATACTGCAATTTAAAAACACTCAAAAAGTAAAAGTGAAAAAGTATATACTCCAAAAACGTCTTAGGGCCGGATTTATCAAAGGTTTGCGTGTATAAAAACGTGAGCCATTTCACTGCGCATGCTAAAAAATGTACAAACTGATCTATCAACAGCGTGCTAAAAGGATTTGGTCTTTAAAACGTGCTAAATAGCG